CTATATCTGACTTTTCCATGCAGGAGAAAAAAGAAAATGACACATATTACCTTTCATCCACCATGCAAAAGACAAGTACAGAATGGTCTCTCCTATATATCTCCATCACAGTTTTAACAAAAACAGCTTCTCATCCATATAAACACTACAGTGATAACTCTTTTGTAATCCGTTCCACAATTTTATAACTGACTACACTTGCATGAAGACAGAAGATCTTTTATTTTAGGAGGTCCTAATATTTATTCCCCACTCAAATTGGTAGTGCTCTACTCTAATGTTAACGTTATATGGTGTCTTCTGAAAGAACATTCACATTGTCATCAATAACGTTTATAGATAGAGAGGTGGAAAAAGAATATATAGAAAACAAATATAGCACATATATATATATATATATGTTGTAAAGTGGCACCCTTGCATGTCCCACAGACAACTCATCTCAGCTTATGAGAGAGCTCTTTGTAATACTTCACAATCCAAGCATCTTAACAATGCTTCGTCCAATAATTCATTCACACAAGTAAACTATATTCATGAACAGAAGCAAACTTGTATACCTATAAAGAAATTAATTATATCACTTGAGATTGGAGGAAATTATGTAAAAGGTTATGTTATTATTCTCTATTATTTACATATTGAAAGTCCAAAGTGTGGCACTTTTTACATTCTTATACTCAAAGTTACACTTTTTATAATGGTATTGTGTTGCTGCTACAGTACAATGCACAAGCTAAAAGAAATTTTACAGTGATACACTGAGAGTCTCTGAGAACTATCATCACCTCTATATTTTTTCCTGCACAAAATAGCCACAATAAAATGTGCAGCAACACATATATACAGTGTCACATTGATGTTCTCAGCCCCATTAAGTAGTCAACAAACAGAAGTAGTGTAATACCATCTCAAATTGTGCTAGAAAAGTCTTATTAATTCTTTTTTTATATCCATAATTCCTTTGCTTTATAAGACTAGGACGTTTTTAAAAAGCAGAGCCTTATGATGCTCTGTACACAGTACCTAATGCAACAGACCAAGAATTTGCTTGCAGATTCTAGAAAATAACCTAGTCATGACAGCTCTATGTTGCCTACCTGCTTACTGAAACTTAGACATGCATGCAAGTAAAAAACTTATATTTTACTCGTTATCTACAATAAACAGTAGCTTAACCAAGGCTGTCTTACTCTGTGCTATCAGCCTGAGGAAACTGAGAAAAACATCACATACTCATTATTTTGTATAAATAAGTGATAATATTCACCTTTTTTTACCACCTCAAACACTCACTTCTATTTATTCACATTTACCATAAGTATTTCTAAAATTCTCCTACATATCTAATGCAGTTATTATCATAATAATTCTCAGGAGTTAGTCCTAAGTATTCTCTCCATGAAGCAACATTAGATATTTATTAGTTTTTCAGATCTGTGTATTTTGGTCTCCTGAGGAGACTCCGCACTTCGTTGTCTGTGGTTCTTAATAATATCCGTTTACTGGTTGACTTTCCTGGGTGTTTCTGATCAAAAGCACAGATTTCCACCCCATGACTGCATATGGATTGTTTTGCGCTCACTTCAGTGAATTAATCCTCAGATCAACAATCTCAATTTTATCAAGAATGCCTGAAGAGCAGCATATGCCAGATCTGAACTGAGTTTTAGCATTCCTAAATCTCAGTGGCACCAGAAAGCCATAGCATTCCCAGTTGCAAGTGAGGATATCAAGAGGGTGTGTGGGGCTGGGGGGACAGGGGGACACAACCACACAACACAAGAAGTGTGACATTCTTGTTTAGCCCTGATTATTTTTCCCCATAGCAGAAAACACTTATTCATTAGAGAGACTGACTTCAGATGGATTTGCTTTCTCCATCCCTTGCCCCTCAAAAAAGGGCTTCTTCTGATTCAAAACAAATAGGTTCAAACTTATTTTTTCTTAAAAGTGTTTTTTGTAATTGTAGAAATGTGTTGGTATTTCTAAACTTTTTTAAACGTTCCTATTAAAAGCTACTGAAAATCCTAGTTTTGCATATTTAGTTCTAAAAGGAGAAAACACATGAAAAAGTAATTAAAAACACATAATGGGAATATTTAAAATTATAAAACTGAGCTGCCATTTCCTAAAGGCAATTTTTGAGTTTTAGAATCGTGAAATTTTAATCCCAATACCTGAAAAGAAAATTTTATGAACCTTACCTTTTTTTCCCAGAAGGAAATACTTCCCATCAGGTACCCTGATCTGCTCTTTGGGGAGAGAGGAAAAAACTAGGCTTTCCAGAATGCCTATTGTTGGCCATCTTTGAAGTGTATACCAGCAAGTCATCTTAAAACCATCTCATTGCATGACTGTTCATCTCAGATTCAGTTAAGATTTCACATCAGCTCCTGTTAGTCCAAATGTTGAAATACCAGAATCTTAGAAGAAATCTTTTGGTTTCAACATCATACTTGCACTTAACAGGAGTTAATTGGTTTACAATGTTATGCAAAGGCATATAGCCCTTGGGCTTGGGTATATCTAGAAAACTACATTGAATATTTGTACAATGCTATGAAAACCTGCTTCCTTGTGAACCCTCTTTCTTATTCAGATGCTAGGATGTATCAAAAAGTTTGTTATTACCATAGACTTCCTACAAAGGCTAAGCCTTCTTATGCCCCTAAGACACAACAAGTGTTTACATATTTTACTGAGGGCTAGGCAATGTCACAAAGAGAGAGCTTGGAGCAGCATGTTTCTGCACTGGAGCATTCCACAGGAATGGCTGCAGATTAGACAGAGGCTATTCCATCCTGCTTCCCTATTGTAGGAGACAGAAAGTAATTAGCTGCTGGCCTATACCACCAGCAAATCATTAACCCCTCCTGCCCCTAAACATTAGCCCAGCTGTTCTGGCCATTGAATTGCAAAGGATGGAAATACATCTCTGTCCATCTTCTGCTTCATCTGCTCGAGGGAATCTGCATACATGTGCTGTCCTTGGCTCCTAGATATCCAGTCAGGGAAACCTTGAGAGGACTGGGCAGCATTTGGATTTGCTCAGGCCTGATACCCAATCCAGCATTAAGTGATTGCAAAATCTTCCCAGAGCTAAAGAAAGGGAAAAGCTGCCTGCACACATACTGCCATTCTGGGACAAGTCAGCAGATACAAAGAACAGTGCAAAGCCAGAACATGATCTAAAGCTGGGGTTTCTCACCATTTTGGATTATTTTCATGGGGCATCATTCAGCTAGATCAGGCTTTTTTAAATACTGGTTTGGATTCGATATAATAAAGGCAATGCCTATCGTTTAACCCTGACTACACAAATCCATTCCAAAAGCCTAACTTGGAGTAGTATTTCATCAGAGTAAGTATTTCCTTAAATGTTCTTATTACATGTACTTGAAACATATGCTGCAGGAACAATTTTTCTTCACAGATACCAGCCTAGTAGCAAAGTAGGCCAAACACATCCATCTAACTCAGTGGGTCAGACATAAAAATGTAGGCCTTTTACAAACACTTGTAAGAAATTATGTCTTATCCTTTGAAAGATGGAGTCATTGCACTGGCATTACACAGCCTGTGCATTAGATCAGACAGCAAATGAGATATTGATAGAACTATTTTGAACAGTCAATAAGCTTTCTAATGATTGATGGCTTTGAGCTAACTCTGTAATATCAATGTCTGCACTTGGAAACTAGAGATTGAAACTGTAATGCAATATTCTCTTTGTGGAATTCATAAGCATAAGTCACAGGTGGGCAGTGACTCCAGTTGAGGGATTTGCATGGGGCTCTTTCTTCATAGTGGAAGGAAAGAATGACAGCAAATTTTACTTGTCTTAATCTCTCTATCTAAATCCAACCAAAGCAGTGTCTCAGAGAAGAAGTACAGGGAGGAGAAAGCCATGGGAGAAACCAAGTTAAATCATTGACCAAAAGAACAAAATGAGGAAACAGAACTGCTCCAGGAACACTGTGCTTAAAACACTCTGCAGGTTAGTCACACAGATTTCATTGGAATTCCAAGCAATGTTACTGAACATTCCAAACAAAGAACCAAAATTTGCCCTTAGAATATTTTATGTAGTATAGTCAAAAAGAAAAAGTAGCCACTGAGGGGAAAAAAGGAGCAGAGGAGAAAACATACAGCCAAGAATTTTAAAAGTAATATAGAAAAATTATTAATGCAGACCTAAAGTAGCTAGATTTTCAAAGATCACATGCTTTGTGCTCTCACAACATAAGCTTTTTTCATCTCACAGAGAATCCAATAAAGAGCCACTATTATAAATACTCCTTGTAAAAAATTCTTTTTTACAAAAGAATATAGAAGGAATTTTAATTCCCTAACCTCCATCTATTAATGGTTGAAATTAATGACAGCATATTTATCTTAATTTAAATTTCTGAGCTCTCAAGCTGACGGTAATGTTCTGAGAAGGCTATAAATCCTGTTTGAATTACAGGTATTCATGTACAGTACTTTCTACTCAGTTATTATCCAAGTTTCCCTTCAATTTCATCCAAAATTAGAGAGGGGAAGAAGGTGAAAGAAGTAGACTGGTAATCTTTCCTCATAATTTATAAACAATTACTTCGCCTGGCAATCATCCTAAATTTGATGCTACTGTTCATGGGGTATTGGCCCCCACTTGCAAGAGGTTTGCAATCCAGTAATATTAGTGAAGTAAAATGCAAAAGATATTGAGATTCTCTAGAGCAGATAGAAGGTTCTCAAGGATTACTTGATGAAATTAACTGTTTAAACTGCAGTTTAAAACCTGAGCTGTATCAGACAACACTACTCCAATTGCCCCTAAGAGCAGTGATGATTCAGTACTCTCAGGCATATCCGCTCCTGCCCTCTCTGCACCTGACATGGATGCATCCTTGCTCCTCCCTACAGAACACAGAGCATAAAGCACAATGCCTGCATAGTTAGGGATTCTCTTTGGAAAACTGACTGTCAGCAGAGGTAGCTCTTCTTTCACTTACTTGGTATTATGCCAGCGTGAGTCTACAATCATCCATAATGCTGTTGGTTTATGCTGATGTGTGAGAACAGGATCCACACCTAAAACAAATACAATTCAGCACCTGTAGATTTACTGTCATTATGTACTTAACTAATGCAAAATACTTCCTTCACCACTACTATTCTGCCCCAAGGAGGCAGTATCCTTCTTCTCTACTGCAGCACTTACATCAGGTTCTTACATCCCTCTCACTGTTGCCCATGTCTCTCTCTGCCTTTTTATAAACATTATGCCTGAACTATGGTGCTTGAGCAATCATCTCTGCTGTAAACTTCATGATATCCAAAAACAAAAAGAGTTTTCATTCTTACTTTATAGTTTTTTACCTACATGCAGAAAGCCATTTGACACTTTAGTTCACTAAAACAGTACAGTTGCAAGGTGTTCCAAAAGCAGAGAGGTGAAGGGCAGAGTATATATAGCACTGGGATTACAGGCAGGTACAGTAATTTAAGAGAAACAGCAAGGACAACATAAGTTTTGAAAAATAATGTATGCTGCGCTCACTGTTTATTTTGATTACACTGACTTCTTCATTTAACACAAACTTAATAAATAAGCAGGCACTGAAGTTTATTAAGGAATCACGTCCTAGGCGAGCAGATAAAAATAACATACATTCTTTGAACTTTACTCTAACACCTGAATACCACAAGAGAAAAAGTTAGGGACAGTTAGGGATGGATTCTGCGAACAAAGAACAAGATTAGCACAGTGGAAAACAAACAGAAACCTACCCAAATGTGCATGTATCATTTTTTAGATTGAGAGCTGAAAACAATTTTGGCTAAATCTTTGGTTGCTACAAATCATTTAAGGTGTTCATACCCCGTGAGTTGTGATGACTAGTAGTATAAAAGCCTGGCTTTTACACCCATTGACAAGAAGTCCTTCTGTACTTAGCACTAGTCTTAAATTTTAACTAAAAGAGACAGTATGGAAATGAATGATTAGGAAAGTGCAGGAAAAGAAAGATACAATCTAGGATCACTCAGGCTTATAATGATCTCCCCCAAAGGATACCAGTGTGCATTTAGAGTGTATGCCACCTAGTGGGAGCAAAAATTTGATCAAAATGTTAAAAAGATAAAAAATGTTAAAAATTTAGCCAGGCATACTTCAAGGTGGAGGGAAATTAGAACTGCCATTCAATACTGAAGCACAGTATTTACATACCAAGACCTTCAAAGGAAAGGGTTTCTGATTGTCTGTTATCTCCTCCAAAACACGAGTAAAAGTTAGTTAAGACTTATGTATGAAAAGCTACGGTTTGATATTGCTGTGCTCTGTGTCTACTCTGGAAACACAGCTGTCTGTAGATAGACTGCATTATCTCAGGTTAGGTCCAATTCTAGCATGGCATCTTGGTACAAAAATACAAGTATTTTACTTTTTTCTCTTTACTTGAATTTTGGGAAGAATTAACCAAGCACAGTAATTTGGCTAAGCTGCAGCCATTATAAAAGGCACGTCCATCCATAAGAGGTGGGTCTTGCTATATATGATCATGAACAGAGATGCATATCGTTTTATAGTGATCATTTCAACTGTATTTGGTATGTTAGATACAGAATGAGAAGAGGGATTTTCTTCCTCTAAGGTTTGTCAACATAATGAAGGGAAATAAGTCTGCTTGGCTTCACAATGGATAGGTGAAAGGCAGAGCATTTGTATTCCACAATATAAATATCACAAACCAGATCTATGAAACTCACTAACAAAAGATTCAAGTATGTCAAAGACCAGATGAATTCAAGGATGACAGGCAAGAAACTCAGACAGTTACCAAATAATCAGAGCTACTTCGAGCCTAGCAAGGCTCTTGAAAACGCCAACAAGGCTAAGAGCATATGAAGTATCCTTCCCCTATTCTTAGTCTTACAGACACTCAGCAGTTGAGGAGTAGATGGACCTTTGATGTGACTTAGCTCAGAAATTCTTGGTTTATATTAGGGCAAAATAATATCTAGTGTATTTACGCCCTAGTTATTAAGGAGTCATACAAAAATATGAACATTTTGCTTAGTAGAGTTCAAAGGCATAGTGGTCTAAAAAATGGAATAAACATACTAGAATATATTTAAAATTAATGATACAAGGCAATGCACTGTAATCTAATTACCTGACCTTCAAAAAAAAATAAATTCTGGAAATGGAGGAAGTGCCACTGCATAATCTTAGCTTCAAATCTAATCAGCCTGTATCATTAGCACAGACATGACAAGTAGCATTACAGGTGAGGGTGAGCGCAAGAGCCTGGAGCTGCGAGCCCTTAAAGCTTTACAGCATGGCCACACTGAGTGCCACCTGCCCGCCCTCATCTCTCCCCAGGTAAGGCCATCAGGCACTACCCTCTGCGATGGAACAAGGCGAGCAATTTTCAGGCCGACACTATAGCCCCAGGGGCCAGCTCACACACAATTACAGGCAGCAGAACAGGCCCGTGGAAACCCCCTAAAGTCCTGCCTGTGCCTTCTCAGCTAAAGGAGCCACAAACCTCTGTGGTCCCGTGGCAGAGGGTGTGTAAGGGGGAAGGCACAGCTCCCACGCGGGTGAGAGCGCAGAAAGCCCCTCAGCACTCACCCGCTCTCCTCCTGCCTGCGCACAGCCAAGGCCGGAGGGGTCGGGTGCCCGGGCTCCTTCGCTCTCACCGCGTCACCTGCAGCTCTCCGCCCCCCGGGAGGGACCCTCGCCCTGGGAACGCCCTGACTCGGGCCCGGGCCCGGGCCTGGGCACTGCAGCCTTGGCCAAGCGTCCTTATCCTTTCCACCTGGAGGCTGCGGGGGCGGTGGGAAGCACAGGCCTTACCACCGAGAGGATTCTGAGGCTCGTCAGGCTCTTGGGAGGAGGTAGTGCTGGTTTGTTCCCTTCTGTGCTCTCGTCAGCAATGAACGCTTTATTTTTCACAGTTCCTTGGGAGTGTTGTGAGCCCCACCGTGTTACTCTGCTTTTTGTCTCTTTTGTTCCTCAAGCAAAAGGATGCTTTTAAGAGAATCTCTGTCCCTTTTAATTAAATCAAGGCTATTGGTGCTGTGGTTTGTCTCACTCTTCTCTAAGAGAAAACTTCAAAATGACTCCTACGTGGGCTTTGAGTGTTGGAGAGAATGGAAAAGTGGAGGGAGAAGCCCTTACGCTACTCGAGAATAACTCTACTTTCCAAAAAAGATCTCTTGATACAATTGTATCTGAGATATTTTTGTAGCTGACGTCACACATTTCTCTTATGTCTGTTGTTTCAGTTTTTTCCTTGTGCAACTTGAGATATTTTTCATATAAGATTTGAAGTGTTAGAGAGAGTAGATGCATTTTTCTGTTAACTCCGATGGGGGTTTATTACATGAAGTATCACACAAATATGAAAGCAGTTCACAGTACATTTCAGCCCTATCGATTCATGGCACTCTCCGAGATTTGGCCACAGTTTTTAGTTCGCCTCTATTCTTCTGTGTCAGGGATAAGAGTCAGTTAACCAAGGCAAGACACTGTTTTCATTATTTTGGGGAAACTAAAGGAAAGGAAATGGACACGTTTATTCAGGATCTGTGCAGGTAGTAGAAGACATCCTTACCTCTTGCCAGCTCTATATGGGAAGAAAACAGACTTTTAACGAGCAAGCTCAAAGGTAGATAATAACTCTTTGTGTTTAGGTGTGATTGTAAGTAGTACTGAATGTTTGTAAGATTATATGTTAATAATTAAACTGCTGATCCAAGGAGTAAAATATGAATATATAACATTTTAGACCCTCATGTTCTAAAATATGATGTGTAGAGCCGTTGGAAAAAAAAAGGTGCAGGGGAAGTAAGAAACACCTGTAACAGCAGAAGGAAGCATCAAGCACATTTGTATTAATGTGCTGAGTTTACCAGAGTGTTATAGAGGAGGCACTGACGTTTTCTACAAATACTGTTAGAGGACAGACTTCCAAATCATTGTATATTTTACAAAAGAATATTTGTGGGAAAAAAAAAATAGGCTTTCTGAGATTGTGCCTAACTAGTAAGCCTGTCTAATGAGAAATTTGGACCAAACATGCTTCTTTCACACACATGGTCCCATCTCATCCTCTAGGCTGGCTCTAGGGTTTGTCTGACCCCACAACGAGCTATTTTTGGGAACTCATGTTGTGTGAGCTTCCAGTGTGAACTGGTTATTGCTCAGTCAGACAAGGGCTGAAAGAAAGGAGGATGGAGGGAAGCAGAACTACCCATTTGTACAACAGGTTGTTTGGTTGGCATTTTAAAAAATGAAACCTTCATACAACGATAGAAACAATTGTTCCAGAGTCAGAGACTTACCTGGTACAAGCTGGTAAAAAAATCATGGAAACTCTTTTTTTTTTTCCATCTGTGGTTTTGATTCCCATGGTTTGAAACCTACTGTATTTCAGTTCTAGCTGATCTGCTTCCAAGGCAGTATATGGAAAAGTAAATGGGAAAATATCACTAGATATAATGTACTGAAGAATGTGAAGTCAGTTTAGGTCAGCATATCTGTGCAAACAAAATCAGTTATGGGTGTGCATTATTTCCCTGTGGGCTGGGAACTAACCAAAAATTATGCTATAGTCTTGCATTTTTTGCTAAGCTAGCCTATAAAACAGTTAAATTTTGGAAGTAAAACCATAGTACTGTTTGGTAGCTCCTCCTATTCTTTTCCAGCCTCCAATCCAACTTAACGTAACTCAATATTTTTTTTTTCTTTTCATGGATAAGTTGTTCTCAGATTTAAAGATAAACTGAAGATGTAAAGTTGATACAAAATTTCTGTCCGTATTGAATTCTCAAAATGCTATTTCAGACACTTGAAGAATTACCTTTTTCCTACTGAAAATCACAGTGGTGTCACAAAGAGGATAATAGGGCCAAGATGAAATTTAAGAGTAAAAAAGCAAGTGAATTTGAAGTAGATAAAGCATGAGAGGTTTGGGGGTGATCTACCTTGGCGATATTAAACAGGACAAAGTATTTCGTAATTCCCAAAAAATTGATTTTATTTTAAGTTTTGTCACACTTTATTGGCTTCATCCTTAAGAAAAAGACTGATTATCCTCTTATGCTTCAGTAGTTATATAAAAAAACAGAGCTGTGGTACCTATTTAGAGTATTTAATGCTGTTAATGGAATTTAATGAGCAAACTTCATCTCTGCTTTACTGTACCACACATTTTCAAAACTGCATAGAGGGAAATTTGCATCAATGATGCCAAGAAGTCACTAAATATACTCAGCTCCCCACAAATTCAATAAAAGCAGTAAGAGCTCCCCAGAGCACCCAACAACTTAGAGGCTTGAGGTCTTAGGCACTGCTGTGACTTACACCTGGAGAATAATGCAGACACATACATGCAAAATTGAAGGTCCTTTATATCTTTTGTTTTAAAGCATGTTCGTCTTCAAATATGCAGTTCTTCTCTCATGCTGTGCCTTTACCGATCATGGGGAGTGTATAATGATGGTATTCATACAGGCTCACTAACAGCAAGATCAATGATACTTGTCACATGGGTGGTTTCCTGGGCTGCTTCTTAGAGTTCATTTTGATGGTATTACTTAAAAAAACACATTTAGCCATTGGGTTCCTTATATTGATTTTTGTTTTGCTAACTGTAATCCTTGTTTCACCCTAGTATGTAAGTGTTTCTTTAAAGTGGATCTATAATGAGATGGTTTGGACTGTGTGTCTTACCTCTCTCTGCACACTATTAGTATTGGACTCCCAAGGGCAGTTTGTGCAGTGAACTGCGATAATGAGGTTGATGGTTCATAAAAGGGCTGATGTGACAAATTACCGACCTGTTTTGGAGATTAAGTAATCGTACCTTTGCCAAGGTCTGCCTATCAGCTTTTTATTCATCATGATTATTGCAGTTGTAAGTATAGTGGTTGCCCTGTTGAGTGTTCCATGTGCCAAGTTGATCAAGAAAACATTTGCAAATCACTGATGTGATTAGTTGTGCCCCTCCCAAGACAAAACACATTATTCTGTGATCCAGAACGTCCAGAGGGTTAAATTTTGAGCAACTTCTTGCAAGGTCTTTAGTTCTTCAGGACCCTACATCCACTGTGTTAGTTGGAAGAGTATTGGAAGGTTCACATTATAAAATTCACTTGCCCATAATACAGATGTCACCCTTTTGCACTGTTAAAATATCTGTGATATTTGGTTAAGGTGCAGTAGTATCAGTTGGTTCTCTACTTATGATCAGGTCTTCTCAGAAACATTCTCTTTCATGAAACACCATAGTTTCTCTCAGTAAGTGGGATGTATATTCTTTTCTCTGATCTTGCATTTGGTGGTAATACAACATACCTCTTGATTCTATTTAATATCTCAAGCATTACAGATCATTAGGAAACATTGTCTGTCATCTGTAGGACACCTTTATAGATGGTTTTTAATATTGTTCATTAACTGGTTTGTGAAGGTAACCAATAGAAACAATATCCACTGTGTATTTTATTTTATTGCTACTTCTGCTGGAAATTTTTAAACCTTCTCATTTATGCCTGTCAGACTTTGAATGGGTACATTTTTATGGGTGAAGAATTGCTCTGGCATATACAATGTGTATTTACATGTGTTCCATGATAATATATGGTTCTCGGCAGGAAACACAAAAGCTGTTGTCGTACTCTTAGAAGTGTTAGATGATGCTTAATTTGTCATTTTATTTTTGGAACATTCAGCAGATTGAGCTTCATTGTCCCACTCATGTGGCCAACAGAGAGTTTGCATTGATACTGTTTCCTCATTAACACTGACACTGTTGGCTGTGATAGCTTTCATCTTTCCCCATAGCTGTTGCTTTGGGTTTCTTGCTACAAAGACTCTCAAGCATTGAAATAAGCACAACTTGCTGTTGTCCCCTCAGTGCAGTGGGATTGTCATTTCTGTCCCTCATGCTGTCTCACATGCATACATTTCCCAAGTTAAAAATGAATTCTGTAAAGTATCTTGCATAATTTTCTGTTCCTCTGTGATGTGTATAATAACGTGTACCATTATTTTGGAAAGGCTAAAGTTATGATCAAAAGTTGTATCCTTGCTGCATGCCTGCTTCATGTTTTATCAACACAGTTGGCAGGTGATGGTCATACTCCCTTCTGCAATGATATACACCACTCTCTAAAAAAGAGAATGGCTTTTGCACAGCTTATCTCCGACCAAGTGCCATGAAATAATTGAGGCTTTCTGCACAAATAACTGTGCTGTGTAGTACAAGAATATCAGCACCACTGTGAAAGTATGACTGCAAAGTGCTCATCAGATGTTGTGGCAATGACAGAATTTGTACTGAAAGTGTTATTTACAAAGAAGCGCTTTTATTTCTTCACTACTTTTCACCTTCTCTGTATGTTTTAACCTTATCACTATTTAATGTGGATTTAAAAAAAAAAAGAAAAATTAAATGGAATAGGAGTGGGTTTGGAAATACAGTACTCTGCATTTAGTACGTGGTAGGCCTTTGTGATGATAAGAGTAGGGTTACTTAAAATGGATGTCAAGGTATATTTCCAAAAGGTGAGCTTCAGCATTTTCTGCATTTTATGTATGAATGAATGATTTGTTGTGACCAGAAAAAGAAGTCTTTTGCTAAGAAGAATCCTTCTTGAATGCCAATTTTGAGAAGCTGGCTTCTGGCTTACCGGTCGCTTCCACTTTGATAGCTATCCTTGAAGTTTCGACACTGTTCTTCTTTATTTTTATTCATATCGGCTCACAACTGGCACTCAGAACAAAACTCTTCAAAGCACATTTTTCCTCCAGATGTGAGAAAAGCTTATGAACATAAATCTATCCGTTTATTATTATTTGTTTTTAATAACTAAGTAATCAATATTGATTT